TTCCTAGCAATCACCATTATCATGGTTTGGGAGGCATCTGCAGAGGTTAACTCTTGTCCAAGGTTCCCCTCTATGTCATCAAAATCGATTCGATTGTGTGTGGTATCGTCGACTACAAAAGGCCACACATCCATGCCCAGGTCAAGACCATATCCTCCATCCACTTTCTCTACCAGCAAAAACCATTCTGTCCTCATATTCCTTTCAAGGCATCCAGCCTCAAATCCTCCTTTTTGTCTCATATCATAACAACTTGAGCCAAAACCATGGCCGACCCGTCTACGGCAGTGGATTCGACTCGGATCGTGACCCACGACGATGGCTACGTCGGATCGCCTCCTCTCTACATGGAGAATCCCAGACCAGTTTTGGAGGAAATTATGCGCGATCAGATGCGGAAGCAGAAAACGCCCGGCGAGAGAGGCGGCCCTATACAGATGTGGAGGGACTACAGACGAGGCCGCCAGATGCGAAAGGGAGACGAGATATGGCGACCAAGCAGCGACAAGGACGGATATTGCTGGCGATCCGAAACCGGCTTCATGGACAACACCAGCAGATACCCCAACTGGCGCGCCAAGTGGGTGGTAGAGGTCAAGGACGCCAGCCGCGTTCCGACCTGCGAGATCTGGGGGCCAAATGGACGGAGGGAACCCAACTTTGATGTCTGGCATTGGATTTCGGACTGGCCTGAGGATATCCACATGGAGCATTGGAAGGAGCTGCATCGGAGGAAGCTTGTGCGTAATCCGTATTGGTGATGGATGGTGGAATCGTGTTAGTTCTTGAACATGGCAGGATCATTAATTGGTTCGTCGAGAAATAAAATCATTCATGACCAAATAAATCTCATGATGCCGGGACTGTAAAGTACGGAGGGCTCTTTTAAAAGTCTTATCCATAAGAAGTAAGTCCTAATTATTAGATTAGATAATAAGTACACTAAGTACTTTCTGATTTCTATAGGCCCTAAAGGATAGCAGGCTATAATATATAGTAACTGCTATATCCTAATTAGCAGCATACTACTCCTGAAGTTATAGCGGCTATTTAACGAGACTGTAATAGCTTTATGTATCTCAGGTAACCGACAGGGATAAATAGATATAATATTACTAGCGCTTGGACAAGACTTTTGAAGGGGCCCTCCGTATATCGTCTGGTTCTGTTAGTGCTTGACCCCCACCATTTAAAGATGACGACATGCTCCGTGCACGGCCGCTTCTCGAACGCTTCCACAGGTTCGCCAAAGACTTCATGACTTGCCCCACCAACTGCCAATATATCGTCGCAAATAATGGGATGCCATTAATTCAACACCACACTTCTAACTCGCCCAGTTGATTGGCTTGGACCCCCGAAAAGGGAACAACCCAATGGCTCTGAGCGATCACCCCAGGGCCTACGGCACGGCCGCCCTCGCTTTCGCCTTCACGGCCGGCGTCCTGCTGACCCTCGGGTTCAAGGACTCGTATCCCGACCTCGAGCGTCGCTACCAGCGCAAGCGCCGCTCACGAGAGACGCTTTCGGCCCCGGGAGATGAGTCTCGCCGCGGCAGCTTCTTCTGGAGCAGCCCCGTCAAGCTCGAGGACCACGAAGCCCCCTCGGCGCACGACGACGCTCGCAGCAGCCCGGCGGAGGGCATCGAGGCCTGCATCGGCAACACGCCGCTCATCAAGATCCAGTCGCTCTCCGAGGCCACGGGCCGCACGATCTTGGCCAAGGCTGAGTTCCTCAACGGCGCTGGCAACAGTCCCAAGGACCGCGTCGCCCTCAACATGATCCGCGAGGCCGAGGCGAAGGGCCTGCTCGTGCCCCGGCGAGGCGACACCATCTATGAGGGCACCGTGGGCAGCACCGGCATCTCGCTCGCCACCCTCGCCCGCGCAAAGGGCTACCGCGCCCATATCTGCATGCCCGACGACATGGCCATGGAGAAGTCGGACCTGCTGCTGCAACTCGGCGCCACCGTCGAGCGAGTCACCGTTGCGCCCATCACCAGCCCCAACCACTTTGTGAACCTCGCCCGTCGCTACGCCGCCGAGCACGCCGCGAAGCACCAGGACGGCAGCCAGGGCTTCTTCGCCAACCAGTTCGAGTCGGACGCCAACTGGCAGGCGCACTTGAAATCGACCGGCCCTGAGATCTGGAAACAGACGAACGGCGACTTGGACGCCTTCGTTGCCGGCGCGGGAACTGGTGGCACCATGTCCGGCGTCGCAAAGTATCTCAAAGAAGAACAGAAGCTCTCAACCGTCAAGATTGTGCTCGCCGACCCTCAGGGCAGTGGCCTGTACAACAAGGTCCGTCACGGCGTCATGTACTCGTCGACAGAGCGCGAGGGCACACGGCGTCGCCAGCAGGTCGACACCATGGTAGAGGGTATCGGCATCACACGCCTCACACAGAACTTCGAGGCCGGGCGGGAACTCATCGACGACGCCGTCAAGGTGACAGATGAGCAGGCCTGCCGAATGGCTCGCTGGCTCGTCGAGCACGACGGCATCTTCATCGGCAGCAGCAGTTCCGTCAACTGCGTCGCCGCCGTCGCTACCGCCCTGACCTTGCCGCCCGGGAGTCACGTCGTCACTATCCTATGCGATTCAGGCTCACGCCACCTCAGCAAATTCTGGAAGCACATCAAAGAGATGGAGCGCAAGGGCGACGACGAGGCGTCCGACTTATTTTCTGAGCTAGGGATACCCAAGACGACATGAGCAATCATGAAGTGAAAAAAAGAAGAAAAGAAGAAAAATAATACAACAAGAACTGAGCGCGGAACCAAGTGATACGTCTCCAATAGGGCGCCTTGTCGACGTCTATTTCCCATCAAGCTACTGCAATCACTCAGGAGCCCCAAATATGTTTTTTTTGGGCAAGACGCTTGGAAAAATTCCGTCATGACAATAAGAGAAAGGTATCGCGCGCCCGTAGTCTTCGTTCTTGGTACAAGTCAAGTCGCCACTCCGTTTCCTGTGAACTCCAGAATCCCCCTAGAATATCGCACCACAGTCCCATGCAAACCCTGCTGTGCGAAATGAAACGCCGCCGCCGTCAAACCCCCTCAAGAGAACTGTTGTAACCTGTCAGCTCTGATTTCGTCGTGAAGGGATAATAAGATGCATGCAACATACCTTCCATCGGTGTCCGCAATTCATGCACTCGCAGAACGTAGTCATCGGTTCATCAGCGGCTCGCGTCTGTGCCTGCGTGTAGCTGACCATCTTCTTCCTGCAACGGCCGCACTCCAAGCTTTCACTGATACTCTTCTGTTCTTGGGGAACCTGGGCCTTCAGCATGTTCTCCTTTTCCAGCTGGATCTCCTTCTTGCGCTGGTCCTCGCTCTTCAGGTCCTCGTCCGTCATGTTGACGAACCTCTCTGCCGACACTTCCCCAGACATGACACGGCGGCCCAGCTCCTTGTTGGACTTGTTCTTGAGGTTGGAGAACAGCGATCGGATCTTCTTCTTATACTCGGCGCCCTCCCCCTTGAAATAAGAGTAGGCGGCGTGCTCGACGGCAACGGCCTTGGCGATGACATCGGACTCGGGGGTGGTTGATCGGTATGCAAGGCCGTTGTAGATGAGGCCGATGCATTGGTTTCGAACGTTGGAGTCGGTGCGTTTGATATCAACGCCGTCGCTATCGAACTTGCGCTTCTCGGGATCGCCCTTGAAGGTCCTCTTGGCGCCGCCGCCGCCGGATGATGAGGGAGGAGCAGGGGAGGATGTGGGAGCCGGTGCTGGAGAACCCTTCTTTCCCTTGTTGAGTTTCGAGTTCTTTTGTTGCTCGACAAGCTTCTTCCACTTGATGACGAGCTCGGAGGCGGCACGGGCGATGTCCTTGTTGGGATTTGACCTAAGCTTTCCGACGTAGACACCGGCACGAGTAGCCTGTTCAATGAAAACAAATGTCAGTAGAGGTTTGGGCAAAATTGCGGTGCAGGTGTGGCAAAAGCGCAAAGGTTTGTTCGGGTTGCGCCTTGAAGCTCCCCACGATGATGCACATTATCGCAGACAAGTCTCCAGATGCGCCCACGCGAGCGACGGAGGCACGAGGCGTCGCAGCACATAGCTCTGCTACTCCCGGCGCAGCCTATCCAAGCGCAAGACATCTGTGACGTAGCGCTATCACGTACCCTCAGCATCTCCTCAGTAGGGGAGGCATCCTTCTTGAGTGTTTCGAGGAGCTTGATGGCGTTCTCGGGTGGCTCATTCGCAGCCACGCACTTGGTCAAAGCCTTGACGCGTGCCTCGAGCTCGCGTTGATCCATGGGGGGCGATCGGAGAGCAGCGACGGGGAAACAGCCGAGGGACGTCAAGAAATCGGAAATCACAGCAGGGAAGATAAGGAAAGAAAACTAGAAATCTATTTGCTTGTCCAGGCGCACCACTTCTTTGGGGGGGTGTTTGCGAAGCAGCCGAGTGACCTTGAGCGAAGCGGCACGTGAGCATGTTTTACCGGTGTTTAGCCCCCGACTTCTCCAGACTGCCCCAGGTACAAGCGGCGGGGTGTGCTGTCCTTGGCTTCAACGTCCCGCCTCCGAAATCCGAGATATTTCCATATTAATTGGGTTGAGCAAGGAAAAATGTTTTTTAAAAAAAATCTACAAATCAATGCTCTCGGTTTGTGGATTGGAGTCTCATCTTCTGGCAGCCTGGAGTTTGGTGAGTGGTAGGGCTGAATATTGGCCTCATGGAAGCTGTGGGATCGCCATCACTCAGCATTCAACGCCTCACTCTGTCGCTCAAGCCAACCAAGTATTAGAATTTGCAAAAAGGGCAAAAAGGAAGGACCGAGCGTGGTTTGAACACGCGGCCTGAAGATCTGCAATCTCCCGCTGAATGACTGTTAGGATGGGATGTCTTGGTCCATGACATGGCAGTGAAACTCACCTCTACCACTGAGCTATCGATCCCGGAGCTGAAAAGCCGGGCTTTAAGACACCTGTTAACTTGGCGGAAGCTGGGAGGGGAATGCAAAAAGAAAGGGCAAAAAAGAGGACCGAGCGTGGTTCGAACACGCGGCCTGAAGATCTGCAATCTCCCGCTGAAAACAATGTTAGGATTGATGGACTAAGTGAATGGCTTGGCAGTCAAACTAACCTCTACCACTGAGCTATCGATCCCAGTAACTTATCAGGTCACGCCCCGATAGCACCTATAGAGGAAATTCACACATCGATGAACACTCCCACCTTTAACACGTGCTCGTTGTTTGATCTACGTGAGCACCTTGCCTACAACTTTTCTATAGCAACTCTCGGCATCAACAACAATGCCTGATCATGCCCGGTCGCCCACACCATTTCGGTTGTTTGGTGACCTTTGGCTTGAACCCCCAGCGTCATATCTCGACCAAGACGACCTGGCAAAACTCGAGGATCTCAGACCCCATTTGCAGCAACTCGATGCACAGTGGAAAGGTGCGTGATTCTCTCTACCAGAGTCAAAAACGTCGGCTGATTTGATTGACACCATATCTTCTAGACCGGCGATCAGCCGTAACAAACGGGAAATGGCGCTATCTTGACGAATTCAGTCTCATAGTAGAGAGAGAAACCGCCACATGGAAGCACGATTATGATATTTCTCGTGAACCAGCATTCATGGTTCCTCCAAGTGGACCTCTTGATGCCGTTGTCGCCTGCCATCTGCACTGTCCTTCCTTCAGCGTTTCTGATCCATACAATCGAGTAACCGCAGACGAAACCAATATCTGCATCAAACAGGTACTCGACATTGGGTTCTCTCCAGACAAGTGCCTACTATACGATCATCTTTCCAGACGCGAAGCGCTTGATGGACTGCGATTCTACCCAAGTGATATCCTTCGCATTCACGAATCTTTCACGGCCGAACTCAGAAACCACATGTCCGCTATCATTGACATTTGTTGGGGAGCATGTGTTAGAGAAAGAATGATGCAGACTTGCAATTTGACACCCCTTAGACTGTAGGGCACATATAAGGGAGTCGAACTTTGGTTGGAATGGGATCGTAACGATAACGTTCCTTTTCATGACAGCCTTTGGCGTGTCGTACGGTTTGTAATATTTGTCAATCACCCTCAACGCATGCTATATGGCTCCCGTCAGACGAGAGGTACAAAGCAAGATCTTCACTTGACAGTGGCAGCCAAACTTGCAGGAATATGCATCGATGAGCATTTCTACCAGACGACTCACAGACCTGGCACATATGGAAGGCTTGCCTCGTGGCAATATAAGAGGCAGCAGAGCTTAAATGCTTCTGCCATCCGAGAAGTTACGAGCTGCACTCCATTCGTGTTGCGTAAAACCCCATTAGACATGGAGGTATCCTTGCCCTCGGATTTCTCGGAATTCAGGATGAAACTTGAGTCCCCTGTGGAACAGCGTACCACGAGTACTGTTGCGGTATTCATTCGCTCTCTTACTGCGCACATGAGCCTAGGGCTGATCCGTCTTGAACAGGAAAGGCAAAGGGAGCCTGTTGAACTCTTTCCCGAACTTGGTCAGCCTCAGAGCCAGAAAGGGCTCTATTTTTTAGCATCAGCGCTCATGTCGACCGGGGCAGATTTGAATCAAGCCCTTTTGATATCCGGCCTGTGCTCCTCGGACAGTTCTAGCCATCCCGATCTTTCTAACTGGGAAGATATTCCCATCGAGCTTCGGGACTGGATTGAAGGCCAAAACGGCTTAAAAATCGACAGTACAAGTATTGGGTCTGCAGATGATCTTTTAAAGACGCACAGACTGCTTTGTCGCAAGCAAACAGTGATGACTGTTCGGAACTCGGGCATCATCGGCATCGCTTTAGATGTTGCCATTCGATATTTCAAGCAGATCGAATGTATTGGGCGGGAGAGGAGCAAGATTGCAGATCTAGTCGTCGAAGGCATCCCCCCTCACAACATCGTGGCACGTAAATGCAGTCTTTGCGGTCAGCGAATTCTTGATGATGCCTATCCACGATTCAAAAAGCTCGACCCTGGGAAATATGTCGTTCGATTTCTCCAGAACGGATGTGGTCTTCCTTCCTGTCCTAGAAATCAACAGGGCGCTTGGGCCGTTCCTGCAGATCCCTCGGTTCAGCACATTCGACCAGACACGGGCCGACTTGTATCAATGCCAAGAAAGCCAACCTGGGAGGCTTATTTTCTACGGCGCGGAGTGAATACAGCGCATCTCCCGGAGAAAGTCATAATTATTTGCCGACGTTGTCGCAATCAAACTTTCGAGGATGACAAGCCACGCCGGACCAGCGAGTCACAACCCCGTTATGTTCTTCGTCGACCAGGCTGCCAAATTTGCCATGCGAAGAACACGAACTGGGTCCCAAAAGATGACTCGATGCTTTGGGTTGACCAATCGAAGCTTTCACGCAAGTGGAAAAGTCTGATGAAGCAACCCGAATTTGAAGCGAGCGATGATCTCAAGAATCCAGATTGGTATTTTCCAACACCTGGAAGGACAAGAAATTGATTTTTTGGTGTATGCCATAGTCGGATAGACAAGTCGCATAGTTGCCACTATTGCCAGGGTTCTTCACGATATGTCAAGTTCCCACTCTCTAAATCAATTATCCCAGTAGAATTCAGGGTGGTTTGAATGATTAAGCCTGCGGGTCCGCTCTCATCTTCTCTCCAAGTGGAGAGAGAAAGAAAGATGAGATGTAGTTTGATCCAGGAGAGCCAAACGCGGATTTTTTCCTCAATTGTCCAATGGCTAGTTCATTATGACCCCTTGGCCCTCTTCCCTTTACCCCGAGGCCTTGTAGTAGGAATATTATCCGTTTGATCAACCTCCTCCTCCTCTACATATCCATCCCCATCATTGTCCACTGTGTCTCTCCTCGCCACCCGTTTTCGCTTCCCAGTTCCACTCTCTGCGTTGCTCGTGCTCGGCCCTTCACCTGCAACATTCGCCCTCAGTCTGTCTACAGCCGCCGCCATTCGCTTACTTCCTTGCGCCTTCTGTCGTGGCGCAGATGCATCTTTCGCGCCAGCACCCACACTGCCACCAAAGAACCTCGTAATATTGCTTTGTGTTCCCTCCCGGTCCCGCGTGTTCATGTCCTTGACAACAGGCACCAAGACCTCATCCGTCCGCTCCTTACTCCATCCAATTGTCGCCATCAGGAACTGTCGCAAGCCTTCGACGTCCGGGACACCCCATTGGAACTGCTCAGCGCTAGCATCGACCTCGGGGTTGAGGTACGCATCGTAGACGGCTGGGCTAGGGAAACCAGGCGGGAGGAAGAGTTTGGTGGCTTGGGACTTGCGGAACTTCCTTCGGAAGGTTGACGAGGCGTCGGCTGCCTTAGGCCGGCTTTGAGATTGAACTGCCTGCCACCATTCGCGGAAATCATCGAGCCCAGACTTACCGGGAAACTCGGAGAGAATCTCAACGGCAGTAACGGGACCAACACCAGGCAGGCCTTCAGTATAATCAGATCCGAGAAGCTGGGCGAGTGAGATGAGCTGCTCGCGGGAAAGAGATAATTCTTTCTCCAGATCGACGCTCAGGTAACACTCAACAAATTTGTTGCTGTTGAACATATTCTTGTAGACCCGAGTTCCGCCAAAGAGAAATGTATCCGAGTCATCTGTCACAATGCCATCAACAAGTCCCAGATGGACCAGCTCAGCGCACTGTGCTTCGGCTTCCATTGGGGCAGTAATATAGGGGATGCCAAACAGCCGAAGGAGAGCCTGGCATTCCGTGATCATAACTTGTGTAACCTCATCGGCATCTCGGCGGTCCTTCTTTTGCTGATTTCGAAGAGCCTTCAGTTCTTTCTCATAATCCTCCCTATTCTGTGCCGCAGACTTGTTGTTCAGCTCACTGGCGAATCGAGCATGTTCCTCGGCTTCCTCGGCCATTTGTGCCATGAGCTCCTCATCTCCCGGGTCACTGAACTCATCATACTCAACATCATCAAACTCGTCGTCTTCAATGCCAATATCGTTTTCTCCGCGTGTAATGACTGGGGCTTCCAGTCTGGAAGCATCGTCAAAGAATGGCAATGAACTGTTTCGTGCTTCTTCCACTGGGGCTTCGGCAGTGATAACATCCTCAAACTCTGGTTCGGGAGAGGGGGAGACTTGTTTTTCTGTTCGTGGCAACTGGGTCTTGTCGCTGGAAACAGCAGGAGGCAACACCTCTTCAAATTCTGGATCTGCAGATCCAAATTCCCCGAGCTCTTGTTCAGCCGCCTCTGGCAATGAAGGTTGGGGGGCGTCCACCACCAGTAACCCACCTGCAGTGGCTTCAACCTCGTCGTTGTCGATGACAACGGGGGGTTCGTCTGCTGGTTTCTCTGGAGACGGTGGGATCTCGATGACTTCGATATCACTTCCATCATCTGACGATGAATCAATCTCAATCAGTCGATCTTGCATCTCCCGTCGTCGGAGTCTTTCGTCTTCCTCCGCTGCAAGTTTATCTGCAGCGTTGATTTCTCGGTCTGCCTCTTGCTGCTTCTTCAATGACTCGCGAATATCACCTCCATCGACCAACCAAGGAGGCAGAGGTTTTGGGCCATCACCATTCTGAGACTCCTTTTCAAAGCCGCCAGCCATTTCATCGTTCACGTTTTGGGGTTCCTGAGCCCCACCTTCCTTCGCGACTTCAGTTCCCTTCTGAGGTGTCTTCTTCGCAAAAAGGGAAGATCCCCAGTCCAGTTTAGGGAAAGGCAATGGACCATCAAAAGGGTTTTTCTTGTTCTCCATGACCGGTGCTGGTTGGGCCCTTTTCGCCCGCCTGGACTTGGCCATAACCGCCTGCATGTCATCTTCACTATCGCTGTCGGCAGTAACTTCTCGCCCTTGACGCTTTGGCACGGCCGCATTTGCTCGGTTGTTGACAATGTGTGCGATCATGGAGCCAGTAGCGTTGATGGGCTTTGGCCCTTCAACGGATTTTTGTTTCCACTTGGGTTCCTCCATCAAGATATCCTCGAATTCTTCTTCGGCCTCTATCTCTCGGCCGACACCATGCTGGTTTTGTAATGACAGAGCGATGGCGAGGTTAAGTTCGTCCTCTTCCTCTGGGTGAACGGCCTGTTCGTGCTGAGCCTCAAGTAGGCTATTCACGTCTCCTAGGTTGTCACCAACGAACAATGAGCCTTCTTCATCTGCAGCAGA